CTTGTCCCAGCCCCAGCCCAAATCCCTCCCTCCCCCACACCCCTTTTCTCCCCCTTCCCCCAACCCCAACAGACTTACCAGCTGGAGGCAGCTATCAGCTGCCTGTTTATAGCCGAATCTCCAAATTGGCCTAATATATTTCCAAAGCTTTTCTGAATCTATTCACATGCTTTGAATTGCTTCAGAGCTTTTACTTGATCTTCTGATTCAATTCAGATTTGGAGATTCAGTCCCCAATTCAGGCCAAATCTCCTCTGAATCAAATTGGCTACCAAAGCTTCGCACAGCCCTAGGATCTATCACTCTAGAGATCTTGTTCAGTGCTCTCAGCAGCAGCAGGACATCCACTCCTGCCACCGTCAGAGGCAGGATACTGGGCTAGATGTACCATTGATCTGTCTCAGTCTGATGCTTCTTAGGTTCTTATGTACTCTGGTAACTGAACTGAGTGCAGAACATGGATGGAATCTTACTTATGCGACAGAGTTTCTTAGTTTGGTTGCATGATGCCACTACCCCCCAGTCTTCAATGACTGTTGATTACAAGATAAACTTTAAAGAGTTGGTTCAAATCTTTAAATATCTCAGATCCTGCTTATTGAGATGGTCCAGAGAGGTGATACTCACCCTCTATGAGATTTTGGTCAGGTCGCAGTTGGAGTACTGCGTCCAGTACTGGGTGCCACACTTCAAGAGGGATGTGGCCAGCCTGGAGAGGGTTCAGAGGAGGGCCACCCGCTTGGTGAGAGGGCAGCAGGACAGACCCTATGAGGAGAGACTGAGGGACCTGAACCTGTTCAGCCTCAGCAAGAGGAAGCAGAGGGGGGAACTGGTGGCTGCCTACAAACTCATCAGGGGAGATCAACAGCAGATGGGTAGAGACCTTCCCCCCCCCTCCCCGCACCACCTGGGGTGATGAGGAACAATGGTAATAAGCTGATGGAGAATAGGTTTAGGTTAGAGTTCAGAAGGCAATATTTTACAGTTAGGGTGGCCGATATTTGGAACCAGCTTCCCAGGAAAGTGGTCCTTGCCCCTACCTTGGGTAAATTCAAGAGGAGGTTAGATGATCACTGTCTGGGGTCTTGTGAGCCCAGCATTCATTCCTGCCTGTGGCAGGGGTCAGGCTAGATCTGTTCAGGTCCCTCCTGACCTTAGCTACTATGAAGATCTACCTCTCTCCCTACAGTGCAACACTCACAGTGACTAGAACTGCTACATCTAGTATCCACTGGATTTATCAAAAAGGAAACAACAAGGGTCTCCAGCAAGGGGTTCAGAATTTTAGAATCTGCCTTTTCTCATTACTGCTCTTCCCAGCATTTTAGCAGAGGGAAGTATGTGCACAGTATTTAACCTGGGTGCATGTGTATGTGTGTGGTTGTTTTGGTTTGGTTTGGTTTCCCCTCCCTGTTTTTGAGCAGGCAGGGTTTGTTTTGGTTTTTCAGTGCATCTGATTGTAATTTACTGTGAGGAAAAGACACCTGAGAGTCCTGAATGGGCACTTGGTAAGTGGATTGTACTAATGTTGCTTGTGATCTTGTTTTCCACTCACATAGGTTGAATTTGAATGCATCAATGAGAAGAAAAAACAAAAGAAGAAAAGCTACAGAAACTCTGGAATTGTGAGTGTAAAACATTGTGAGGTCAGTCACTTAAGGCTTTTTAATTTTTTTTTATTTTATTTAATTACAAATGTCCAGGTACCATCTCTGATCTAATGCATTGTCTTCACCTCCTAAAGCTTATGAAAGCTACATAGTTGAGTGTAAATGGTGATGGTAGTATACATGCAAAATGTGGTGAATGTCACACAAGCATTATTATGATAAATTATGATAAAGTCAGCAAAATGTTATAGCTTTCAGTTTGAATGAAAATTCAGTACATGTGAATAGTGTAATTTGTTTGAGATGATTTGAGTTCATATATATGGAATATGCAAGCAATTGGAAGTTACCTTTATGTAAAAGTCTTTGATTAGTCTTTGTCTAAAATATCAAATCTCATTACCCTTATTTTCAATAGTGTGGTCTTTTTAACTGAAATTAGGTGGTCAGTGCCTTTGCATTTTACTTGGTGGGAACTGCAGGTACTCAGCACCTTTTAACACATGCTCAGCATAGTCACTTTAGGAAATTAAGTAGCCTTTCAAAATTATATCAGCAGGTATGTTTGAGTGACAAAGGAATTGGTAAATGACATTCCCTTAAATACAAAGTCACCAAGAATCCTGGCTTTTACTGTAAGTTACTGTATGTTGACTAGTAACTTCGGCCATTTATAAATGTTACATTTTTCTAGGTTTAATCCGGACTACAGCTGCCACTATATACACACGGACACCTGTAGTCTGAATTAAAATGGGTTCCAGTCTGAATGAACTATTCCTCATTGAATGAGGATTAAAGTTAATGCAGACTAGGGCAGTCCAAACTAGGCAATTTAAACTGTATTAATTAACCTGTATATGTGGTATGTATCTAGGGCTTGTTGCTTGTGCCCACCACCAGCTGCAGCAAGTGAGCACAGTTTTGTAGCCCTGATTGGTGGGCAGTGTCCAGTGCCCCTTGCAGTCTCTACTGCCGAAGTGCACGAAAACCTCTGTGATGGTCAGTGATCATCTATTAACTCTTAATTCAAATTGAAATTTGATTCAAACTGTGCAATGTGAATCAGTTAACACAGTTTAGAAAGTGGTGAGCACCTACAAATGGTACTTTATATTTTAAGTAAACATATTTATCATATGAATTTTCTCCTTGTATCCAAGTCTTATTTATATTTAAGTATAAAAGGCCTGTTTCTGATGCACTAAGTGCACAGTATCTTGTTCTGTGAAAAAGCAGTGAATTGGGACTACTTGTGCAGTACTACCTGTGTGTGGGGAAGAAATCTGATTTCTCAGGAAATTCAGTGATCACCTTATCAACCTCTTTAGTTTCTCTAAATTGTTAAATAAAATGTTAATCTATTTTAAATGTTTCCTTTTAGGTTATAATGGAATGCACATTCCTTGATTACATCATGGGAGGATGTCAGCTGAATTTCACTGTAAGTAAAATAAATCACAAATACAAAGTTGCTTTTGATTTTTCTTCTTTTTTTTTTATTCAGAACAAGTTGTAGCACAGATTGATCATTTACTGTATTTAACTAGTTTATTCTTGTAGCATATGGACAAAATATAAGAGACTGTCATGTGTGTCTTTGTGTTCATCCATTACTTGTAGAGATCTGAAAGGTTGATATTAGTTGTGCCTAGCAGGAGTTCAATACAGCTGAGTAGACAGAGACGAAAGGAAAAGCATTCAGGTTCCTGGCACAGGCTTAACACATTGGGCATTGTTACACATGAAAAGCACCTGACACTACAACGCATTCAGTTGTATAAGGGGCAGAATGTGCACAGAAAATGGCAGCAGCCCACTTTTGAACTAAAACACATCAAAGGTGTGTTCATTCAAAAGCACACCGCTGCCATTTTTTCCACACTGATGCATGTTTCTCCACTTACACAACTGCAAGCAACACAGCACGGTGCACATCAGCTCACACGTGGAGCAGATTCGATTAATCTCTGGTGCATCGCAGCATGAAAAAGTATGTGTATAAATGCCCGTTCTTTACATCTTGGAGTAGAGGATCAAACAGCCCTTAGATCCCCATTGAAGATAGCTTCAAGGGCCTTTTCCACAGCCTGAGCAATACCTCTGGGCCTTAATGTAGGATCTCACCTGAAGCTGTTTAAGTCACAGCAGTAGTAAGATTTCTCCAGCCCAGGACCTTCCCTCTTCCGTGCTCCAGGGAGAACTCTGTGACCAGGTTGAGTGTTAATAAGGGTTAAGATTGTATCTCTTAAGAAAAAGGTTGAGGCCATACACTTGGTTCCTACCCAGTGAAGGGATGGTAAGCACTTTTGGTCAGAATTTAATATGAGACAGGAGCTAATGGATGAAGCTTGCCCTGGGGACTCAATTCTTTCATGTTGTTTAAGCAGGGCAAACATCAACAACATATGTTCAGCGTTTCAAAACGAGAAGTGTGAATATGGTGTTTGGTAGATGTTTAAATGTGCTAGAAAGCACTGCTGTCAAAGCTCTCTTACTGTTTGCTTTGTTTTCAGTTTACTTTTGCATGAAATTTGAAACTCAGGAGTAGCTCTCACTGCTAATTCTTCACTTGATAGGTGGGAATAGATTTTACAGGCTCCAATGGTGACCCTCGCTCCCCAGATTCCCTGCATTACCTTAGCCCTAATGGAGTTAATGAATACCTGTCAGCCATTTGGTCCGTGGGAATGGTTGTTCAGGACTATGATACGTAAGTTATAATTTGTCTTATTTTCTAATGTGTGTTTCAGAACCAGGATCCATATGTGTCACAGCCAGCATGCCAGAATGAAAGACTTATAGCTGAATGTAGTGGAACTAGAGTATAACCATCTTTTTGTATTTTCCAGTGGTGACACACGGGGTGCATGTGCACCCTCCCCTCCCCCCCCCCACAGTCTCTGACTGGCTGCTGGGGGGCATGTGCCCCCCTGGCTCAAGAGGCACCAGTTGCCAGTGGTGTTTTCCTTGCATGTGGGGAATAGTCTATTTTGGTTACTTCATCTGACCACCACATGCTAAACATCGACTTGTAGGCTCCAACTTTGTGGGTACTCCAGGGCTCAGGCACCCACCGAAAAAAATTAGCATGTGCTCAGCACCCACGAGCCATAGCTGTTTTGGTTTTACCTGTTAGGTTTGAACTGCTTGCAGATGTTTAAAAAAAAATCCAAAAAAACCAAAAACAGGGGCTTTACTGGATGGAAGCAGCATGTTACTTCAACCCGGCTCTGCAGTGGCTGTAAAGATTGGGAGCTTCAGCAGGGCTTTTTAGCACTTTTTAGCACTTTTACCTAATAGCTGATTTAATCAACCTCACTAAGGTACCCGAGTTTAACACCTGAGTTCAGTTCCTTGACAGAAATCCCCCAAGTTTAAAGCACCATTTTTTTGTTTCTGACTTCTATAAGTGTCCACTGGCAGAAACCAAAGTTGGCATCTATGCATGGACTGGTATCTGGCTGGTGTCTCTTTTAGAGGGAGATGCAAAATTTTCAGTTTAGCTCTCTAACATTCTTTGAAGCAGCCAGTAGATGGCATTGTAGAGATTATTTTAGGTATCAACAATGTGTACAGATATGAAAACGGTTTCTGCTCTGTGGTGAGCTTTGTGGACAGATGCACAGTTATGAGTGTCACGTTGGGAGACTTAAGGAACTGTGGAAGTTAGCTATTTTTGTTTTCCTGGTCTTGAGTCTTTACTAATCTAATGTTGAGACGAAGGTCAGATCTTTTGATAGGCTGCAGTCTGTGGGCATCCTCCTAAAGTCAGTCTTTATTAATACCAATGGAAAGAATTTGAACCATTGAATCATAGAAAAGTAGATCTGGAAGGGACCTCAGGTGGTCGTCTAATCCAACCCCTGCTCAACATAGGATCCTCCCTATCTAAGTTGACTTGTGGAAGTATTTGTCTAACCTGTTCTTAAAACTGCATGAGCAATCCTCACCCATAGCTACCAGACAGTGCTTGAAAACAGCAAAAAGCACCTTAATGTGTGACAAGAAAAGTGGGAAAATGAGGGCACTGCCAGTGTCCTGCCACTGCAAGGATAAGAAGTAGATTGTTAACTAGGGCTGCATGAAGCTTTGGTTGCTGATTCGATTCAGTGGAGATTTGGCCCAATTTGGTGGTTGAGTCTCCAAATCTGAATCAAATCAGGAGACTCTTTAGTCTCTACAAATTGTACTGGAACCCTCCAAATCAATTTGGAGAGATTTGGAAAAATTTGATGATTCGGACATAGAATCATAGAAGTAGGGTCGGAAGGGACCTTGTA